ACTTAATCTTTGTTGGGCGTACCCTGAAAAACAAAGCACAGTAAAATAATACCCTAAAGAAAAAGGCAGTTAAGTTTACACAACAATCGTAGTCCACTTTTATGTAAAACGATTACATGAACTCCCCAGCAGAGCTCGCCAAACTGGTGAACCCCTCCCCCAAATATTGTCATATAATGAATATGACTAAGGCAGAAATGCACGTAATGTGTGAGTCGCCACCTTGTTTAATTATTTTAGGGTAAACTAGGAAAAAACCCTAATGTTGACTCCAATTTTAATTAACCTAATTACTAGGTTTAAATTATCCCAATGCTTAAGGCATAGTTTGCGAACCCGAGGTGGATCCCAGAGAACCATGTCATGTTGATGAACTAACCAATTGAATGGAATGCTTTGCAAGCGTAAATGATTGTAATTGGACCAATCGAAATGTTTAAGTGATTTCGACTTGCCACTTCGGTTAAATCCCAAAACGTGCCTACTACTTCCGTTTGAAATGGAAGATCAAAGTCGACGTAGGTTTGATAGCCTTTTTTAAAGGGCTTTGAGTGGGTATGCTTAATGCATGAGTGGTGTATTGCTTCGTTGCATTTTGTTTACGCATTTTGCAAAGAATTGATTGATTTGATTTAGGCTTTTGTTGAAAACCAAAAGTGTTGATTTAAGCTTTTAGCCAAAAGGGTTAATTTAGGCAATTGTTGCCAAACAAGTGATATTTGAAGGCGTTTTTAGCCAAAATGTGTTCGATTTTAGGCCAATTTGTTGCCAGAGTGTTGATTGGGCAATTGTCTCCAAAATGAATGATTTAAAAGCTTTTTAGCGCAAAAGATTGATAATTCAAGGCATTTTAGCCAAAGCTTCGATTTAAAGCGATTTGTCGCTAAAAATTGTTAATCTTATTATAGGGCAATTTGTTTGCCAAAAGTGATCAATTGAATTGCAATATAGGCAATTTATTGCCAAAAGAAAAAAAAAAACGTGGTTAATTTAACGGCTATTTAGCCATAAATTATTGATTAATTGGACTTAAGCCGGACTGTTCGAAATAAAAGGCGATATATCATAGTCATTTATTGACTAGATACTTTAGCACAACTATTGTCGGATTTAGGCTTTAATAACGATTTTAATTAACCACATTTAAGCTTAATCATATTTAATTGAGGCAAAGTTTATTTGCCAAATTGATGACGTTGAATGCATTTATGCAGCAGTTAATTAGAATTGGAAGTAGAAGAGAATATGCACAAAAATGCTGAATTAAATAGCCATAGTTTCATATTACCTGAAGTTAATCGGCGGCCGCTTCTAGCTTTCAGCTTGAAAATTCCAGATTAAGCTCCTCGTTTGGGGAATATTAATTAGAATTAATTTAATTAAGTGGCCAAATATCCACAACAAGCAGAGCATAAAAAGCCTACACTAAATGCAAGGAAAAAGCAGGTAAAAGAAACCGCCATTGGAGCGTAGGGGAGAAGAGAGCGTCCGTCAACACCAGACCTGAGTGCCTAAAAAATGATGAATCAGGGCCTGTATTTTAGGAAAGCCCGGGCTGGAGGCGGGCGGCCGCCCTGCCATGGCTGGCGGACTTGCTACTCTTTTCATTCCAAAGGATTTTTCCGGAGTTCCGTACCTCCAAAAATATTCCGGGACCAGTTCTTCGATCCTTATAATTTTTTCGGACGTTTCAAGTACACATTACTAGCATACTTTCGGTGAACTTTCCGAACGTCCTCCGGTCCCGCGACTATTACCATCCTGGCCGGACTGTTTACAATCCGGGGAA